GACCGAGAGCGATACATCACTGGTGAGCACCGCTTCAAGGGTGGATTCGACAAGGGAAACAACCGAAAGATGGTCAAGCTATGGGCCGAGAAGGAGTTCCGTAACCTGCGACGTATCCACAATGCCGGAATCCCCTCTCCCGAGCCGCTCAGCCTCAAGCTCCACGTTCTTGCGATGAGCTTTTTGGGTGATAAGAAGGGTTGGGCTTATCCCCGACTGCGCGATGCCGTTCTGGATGGCGACGATGTGGATAAGCAGTGGAGGGATCTCTACATTCAGCTGTTGGGCATCATGCGCCGAATCTACCAAGTCTGCAGGCTGGTCCATGCTGACTTGAGCGAGTACAACATCCTCTACCACGATGGCAAGCTCTACATCATCGACGTTTCCCAGAGTGTTGAGCCCGACCACCCTAGGTCTCTCGAGTTCTTGCGAATGGACATTAAGAACGTCGGCGACTTCTTCCGCCGAAAGGGCGTTGACACTCTGACTGATCGCATGATCTTTAACTTCATCACTGCCGCCGAGGAGCCTGTACAGGAGCCTGCCATGTCCGAGGCCATCGAAAAGCTGTACATTGCTCGCCCTTCAGTCACCGAGGACCAGCTAGCCGAGCTGGAAGTGGATAACGAGGTGTTCCGAAATCAATACATTCCTCAGACCCTCGAGCAAGTGTACGACATCGAGAAGGATGCGCAGCGACTTGGGAAGGGAGAAGGTGACCAATTGGTGTACAGCAACTTGCTGGCTGACCAGGTCGTTGCCCCCAAGGATGAGGGTAAGAAGACTGAGGGGAGCGAGGAATCGGAGGAAGGTGCCGAGGACTCCTCTGATGAAGAGGGAGCGGCGCTTGACAGCGATGATTCCGAGGATGAGAGCAAATTCGAAAAGGGTAGGCCCCGTGGAAGAAAGTTCGAAGACAAGGATGAGAAGAAGGTGAGTCTGGTCCACGATGACTTGTTATTCAGAGCGATGCTAACATTCCCTCTAGCAACACAAACAAGCTGTCAAGGAGGCCAAGCGCGAGAAGCGCAAAGAGAAGATGCCCAAGGCTATGAAGAAGAAAATAGTCAGCAGCACTTCTAGGCGGAAGAAGTAAACAAAAAAAAGAGAAAAACAGAAAAGGAGCGAAAAGAACGGAATAGCAGATAAACTCGATAGACCGCAATTCCCCTGTCGCGAGGTCTTCCCTCCCAGTGGGAGAGCGAAACCGCAGCATTATCGGATGATGAGCACTACATGTCGCGGCTTGTAGGATGCAAGCGATAGGTTTTTGGGAAGAGTTTTGCATGGATTATACCGTGCGTAACCTCCCGTAGCCGTCGCTGCCCACAATCGCGACCTGATGGCCTGCTTCTCCCTGGAGAACAGCAGCTTTGATGAACAAAGAGAGCCCTGACGATATGCTGAGGCGAACATGAATACAATCGAGAATACTCTGATAGTCAAATCGACTCTGTATTTCCAATTTTTTCCCTCGTTCGTACTAGTGATGTGACAACATAACTTCTGAAGATGATTAACTACAAAAATAAGATCCAAGCTCGCTCAATTTTCCCTGGCTGTAATTCATACGCAAGATGCTTTCGAAAACTGCCCACATATGCCCACATATGGCAATAGTTACCTGAGAACATAAAATAAAAATCTCAGATGCCCGCTTCAAAAATAATACTGCTGCTGCGGTTGGCCTGGTGGAGGCTGGGCGAGAAAGTCAAAGGTGACGGGATCCATACCGCCATTAAATGGATCGGGGGGTGATTCTATTCGGATGCCGGTCAGTACTGGGCAACGTTGGCAATTCTGAGAATGAGGGATAGCCTTACCTCCCCAAATAGTATCGTATAGCTCCATCGGAGCCATGTATTGCGTTGGATCAACGCTGACAGCGGCCATCTCCTCCAGACTGATGTTAGGCGGGAGTGTGGTGGCGTAAGGATTCCTGGCATGACTGTTAGTCGCGTACAGAGCGAGCTGGAGCCGGCGTCCTTTGAGCTTACCCATTAAATTCCTGAAGGGAGGCGCCATTCTGCATCTCCGCCATGGCAAGTGCCGCATCTTCGCGCGGGTCACTGGAAGCTGGAATACCTGCGAATTGGGTGTTGGTAAATGGAATTTGTGGCTGGGTGGTGCCGTTGCCGTTGGTTAGCGCATATCCCTGCAGAGGTGTTCTGTCTCCGCTGCCACCGGCTGATGAAGGATCAACAGTCTTTCTCAAGTGCGAGCGTCCAATGGTCCCGTGATCGTAGATGTTCTTCAGCGCAGTGAGAGCCCTCCAGAGAGGACCGGAGAGCTCAATGTCCTTATCCGTGGTTGGAATATGGGGATCTGGGGATGCCTCCTTGGCAGCGGTTGCGGATAGGGCCGCTATGAGATCGCCTTGGAGCTGTCGCACCTCGGGATCGGTCTTGGTCTCGCAGAGAAGTCCAAGGAGAAGAGCGGAAGAAAGGCCGTGGTAGGTGAAGGCCCAACTTCGCGTAGGAATGACAGAAAGCTGGTGCATAGCTAGGAACATCCTCACCGTTTCGGTAAGGTTGATCTTGCATCGTTCCACCAGCACGTTCTTCTGGTTAGGGTCGAACTCACTATCCCTTTTCAAGGCAGGGCGACATGCGACAGAAATAACAAACGATGTGTGGAGGCGAATAGCGAAGAACTGCAAGCGGTCTAAAGCCGTTTTACACTGATCCTTGTCCTGGATATGGGCACAGGCATGCGATCGCAGATTCTCAACCGCTTCGCAATGATCGACAATTTGAGCATAAGAGGCAGTGGCCATTGACTCTGGGTTCAATCGTCGAGAAATGATCTCAATCAAATGATGCATAGTCTCGATGTATGTGTAGTTGCTAATAGAAGGGTCCGACTTGAGAGGAATTCGGCAACTCGGGAAGTTGGTCATTGGTGTCCTGCGATGATCAATTAGCGCCTCAAGGAATCACAGCGAACAAGCCAATTGGGGTGAAAGGTTACCTGTCGAATGACAATGAAGTTAGAGTGTCATGCCAAACACAGGTCCACCACAACTTGCGCCGAATGTTGTCCTTCAACTTAACCTCAGGTGGTGCGTCGTCGCGGCCCTCGTTGGGATTGGGCCGATGCAAGCCGAGAGATTGAGCCAGGCGGCATGTGAGCCCAGTCAAGGCCCATGATGCTTCAGCTTTCATATCATTAAGAAGCACGAAGCTCGTAAGCAAAAGGGCTTGGATAGAGTCGAATGAAGGCCTAACGGTGTAAGTGGCCGGCCTGATCTAAGGATGGGCTTCGGAAAGCGGGGTGGCGCGTTACGTACCGTAGGAGAAAGTTCCCCAGCCTGAGAAAATGGAACGAGATTTGAATGTATCTTTGCGAAGCTCTTGTTCGAATATGATAAGGGGATTCATGGTATTGGGAGCCAACAGCTAGGACGGCAAATAAGATGGCAAGCCATGCTGCTGTGGCCTTTCTGGGTGACTTGACTGTACTGCTAGTGGCGGCGTTCCGCGAACGCTCCTCCAAGTAAACCATCAACTTGGACTCGAAGTCATCGATATCAACAACAAAGCCCCAGAAGGGCTGAGGGATTTCTTTGTATGTTCGAAAGAGTCTGTATCGTTCATGAGCATCTGGCCGCTATGATTTGTTCTCATATGTAACGAACCTCATCACCTCTCGGTCGGAGGGAAGCTCCGCCGCGATGTCCTGGGCTAAGCGAAGCAGATGGTTGGAGGACATCAGAGGGAACGGTGCTGACGTATCGAGGCCTAGAATAGGTCTCATATCCTGGCGGATATCAACACGGTCGCTCTTGTCGGTGGGAGACGACTGCTCCCGCAGTAGGGCTGGAATACTGTTCTGCCCGAGGTAGCGATCAGCAGCCCCGTCCGAATCCTCAAGACTGGCTGTGATGTTTGTTATTACACTCTTCCATCAATAATTTTCTTGGGACTGAAAGACTTGCGCTCACCTATCGTGCGCGGCCAGCTGTCTTGCCGCTCAGTCTTCAGTGGCCCTTCTCTTGAGTTTGCATCGCGAGCATCCGAGGAGGACCGAGCCCGCTTCCGTGAGGTATTCTCCGCGGAGGCAGATGGCTGCGCCTTGGAAGCAGATGACTTGTTGGGCTTATAGGAGCACAGCTGGGCGTGCTCCCGCTTCACGCAGTTCTCACACGGCTGCTTGTTGTCGCACTTCACCTTTCGCTGGCGGCATGGCCAACACGCGGTTCCTGTAATTGATTATTAGCACAACCAATCCTCGCGGCGCCATAGACTCATTCGGAGTAAACCTCTCTCTATGGTACTGCCAATACGAGGCCTGGGGTGAGGGGGTTTTACCATATCGAACTTTGCGATGAGAATGAATGATACGACTGGCTTCCTCAGGAGTGAGCTGATCAACAGAAACCTGCTCCTCGGGCTCGTCAGGATTGTCTGGCATGCTGAAGCCACAGGACAAAAAGCCCGGCCTGCGATAGTGGAGTCAATTGAAGTGCGATTGGGTGTGTCTCCTTGAATAATACACCGACGTTTGCTGTACCTTGAAAGCTGGAAATATTGGGAGATGCCGAACACCGAGGATAAAGAGCAGGCCGGCTATGATCCCTGGAGTTTCGCTGAAGATTCGGGTTCAGCGGCGTTGGGCAGCTTTCCCCGCTCACGGGCCGTCGTTACTCCGGTATCGCATCTTCATCGCCCGTTATCGCCAGGGAGGAGTCTAGAGCACGTGCCTCCGCTCCACCTTCGCGTCCAGGGCGCGTGTGGGGGATACTCCCGGCTTCCCCTCACTGGCCATTGTTTTGAGGGGGATTGTCTTTGTGAGCGGGCCATCCGCGAACCGTTCCTCCTCTGGGCACGAACCCCTGCTCTGTGCTCACACCCTCGTCCTGGGTCACTTGGACGTAATACTTGCTAACCCATGACCTGCTAATATGTGAGCTCTCTCTTGGATTTGTTCACAAGCCGATGTTGAAGTCTACAGATACAAGACGGACAGTTGAAGAGAAGGCTGTTGATGCCGTCATCATGAACCAAACTCCCAAGAGAGCCGGTGGACGGAGAAATGGCCGCTTAGAAGAAGCAACAACACTATCTCCCCTCCAGCATTTTACTCACGAAGCCTGTTATGACGTTAATATGTCCGATGTTGCGGCCCCACTTGGTACCAACGGCTTTGGCCAAAGAGGACGCTATCAAGCTTCGCCTGGGGTGGGAAGATCAGGGCGATCGTCTAAGAGAGCTTCTGACGAGCCACTTGACCATGAGCGTAGACGGATGATTACTCGAACCGCACACCAATATGATGATCTCGACGATATACCGCACAGATCCTCACCATGTAAGTCACCGTTGGTGACCCCAAATACTTCATTCACCAGCAAGTCCACGGCAACAACCAGAGGGTCTTTCGCCAATACCTCCTTCTCGACAAGATACGAAAGCGAGACTTCACTCAGCAGCCAGGAATCGCTCAGTCAATCAAGCTCATACCAGAAAGATGTCCCCATCACTCTTCCGGACCGTCTCTCAGGAACAGTACAACCAAACAAACAACCTCATTCTCTAGAGAAAAGACTGGAGCATGTCTGGCGTAGGCTTTATGAATTAACCACACCGTATGTCTATTGAAAGCTAAATCATCATATAGCTAAACTTCCAGAATCGCTCAACCATGCTCCTCTGGGCGTCGTTTGGGAGATTACCCGAGCAGCTGCCCATTGTGGCGTTGACGTTGGTGAATTTGACCTGATGTATGAGCCTAACGATGCGTGGCATGACCAGAAGAAGCTTCGAGCACAGCTTGCCACCCGGTCGGAGTTGTTCCGTGGCAAAGGACTGCCGCCTCAGAGCAGTGATGCTGTCTGGGCAGCATCGCTGGAAAGTTTTAAGAGTGACACCAAGGTCGTCGTGCTTTCAATCGAATTCAACCAGGCCGGTAAGCCTTCCGAGCCATTTTATATTGCCAAGCTTGATCCACTGCATTTTCGACTTGGTCACCGATTAGATCGGCGCTGGGGTTCAGATCGTCTACTGGAGGTCACCATTCCGACCCTGGCGCCGTCAAAGTCGTTCGGTTTAGAGGCGGATAGAGAAAGAGAGAGGTCAAAGACTATTATACGATGGCTTTGTGGCCAAGCCCATTATTTTCTTGGCAGGATGTGGGCTCCATTCTTTACTCGACCAACCAAGAAGCCAATCAAGGACGTCCGTGAGCCAGAAAAGTCCGGAGATCAGTATTTGGAGCAAATATACTTCTTTGCGATTGACGGAAATAGTTTCGTTGGTTCTTCTATACCCAACCGTGTACCTCTCCAGGAGGAGGTCGAGAAGCTTCAAGAAAGGACCAAAATGACTTTGAGTGAGCTCTTCGAATGGTCGATATCCGGATCCCAATCAGGAAAACAACGTGTGCCTAAGCTGTTTTCGCGGCTCGCTCTAAGTATTAATATACCAACTTCCTTGATTTGAGAAACAGACTAACGTGACATAGATCTTAGTCGCACTGTTCCAACTGTCACACTAAAACATGAGCAAATACGGTTCAAGGAAGACATAGTATCTGCAAAACCTTTTAAAAAAGTCATGAACGATGGTATTGGCCGTATCTCGCGAAGTTTGGCTTCCAAAATCGCCGCAAAACTTGGCTTGACCGTTACACCATGTGCGTATCAGGCGCGATTTGGAAGCGCCAAAGGCATGTGGGTCATTGATCTTGGAGACGACAAGTCTAACGAGAATGATTGGATTGAGCTATACGAGTCCCAAATCAAGTGGAAATGTAACTTCGAAGATCCCCAACACTTGACTTTCGAGGTCAAGAGTTGGCCAAGGAAACTCGTTTCAAATGCATTGAACCAACAATTTATACCAATCCTTGAAACTCAGGCGCCGTCGGCTGAGAAGAAGCTCGCGATGAGGGATGCAGTAGCTAAGCATCTTGTTCGTGGATTACAAGATGACTTAGATTTGGCGAAAGCTGCTCTGAACAACTCGGCAGCGTTAAGTCTTTGGATGGAGAAGAATGCGAGAAACTTCGAACAGCTTGACGAAGCGTTTGTTCCATTTCTGGGTGGACTACCAGACCAGAACGAGAGAAGAATATCTTATCTCGTGGACTGTGGCTTCCAACCTCAATCGAACTGGCTTCTGAGGGAAATGGTCAACCAACTTGTCGACAAGAGAACAAATCTTCTAAAGAAGAAGTGGAATATTCAAGTACCCTGTTCCACCACTGCTCTTATTGTCGTTGATTTTGAGGGCGTGTTGAAGCCCAACGAAGTCCACTTATCGTTCTCTTCAAACTTTGAAGTTGAAGGGTTTTCGGATACTCTATTGGAAGAAAGAGACATCCTCGTGGCTCGCTCACCGTCTCATTTTCCGAGTGACATTCAAAAGGTTAAAGTAGTATCACTACCTCATCTCCGAAAGCTGAAGGATGTTATTGTTTTCCCAAAAACTGGCCATCGAGCTCTGGCTGATCTTCTCTCGGGGGGTGACTATGACGGTGATCGGGCGTGGGTTTGTTGGGACCCGGATATCGTCGACAACTTCGAAAATGCAATTCCACCCCTAGATTATGACTTTCTTCGGGATGGCATCTTAAGAGAAGCCACGACTTTCGAATTTGAAGACCTACAAAGAAATTGCGACAACCTCTCTAAGGCTTACGATGAGTTCCGGATGACGGGTTTCGAATTCAGCATGAAAGGTTCACTCCTAGGAATGTGTACAAAGTACAAGGAAAGGTTTTGCTATCATGGGAATCCAATAAATGGGGAGAATGCAATTTTACTCAGCGTCTTACTGAGCTATCTCGTCGATCAAGCCAAGTCGGGTATTGAATTCGCAAAAGATGACTGGACGAGATTTTTGCGAACCCGGCTGCGGGTGCCTCTCAATCTCCCTAACCCTTTATATGACGGGGATTGTCTGCCTTCGAATTACAAACTGGATGAACTTTCGCGGACTGGAATGCACATTTTGGACTATCTGAAATTTTGCGTTGCTTTGCCACAGATCGACCAAGTACGGAAGGAGATCAAGGAATCTATGCCTGAAGACGGAAGCAAAGCAATCGACACGGATCTTACCCAGCTCGCAATGGAAATAGACTTGCGAGCCGATCAGGGGTCCAAGGATTTCAAGATACTGAGGAAAAACCTCCAGGCCGACCTAATATCTCTAAAGGAAGAATGGAGTTTGACTACGGCGCAACAAAGCTATGACAGCATGCGATACCGTCTAATGGTTGAGACACTACATGACAAGTGGCTACAGATATCACCCACCTTGGACTCTCCCCTCACTCCTGAACTCGATCTGCTTCTGAATTTCAATTGGTTTTCAGCACACTGTGCATCCTTCTTGAGTCAGGACAATGCAGTGGACCCCGGATGGGTTTCCCCATACAACAAATGGGCACTGATCAAAGCATCGTGGACATACAAGATGTTCCCTCATCAGAAGTTCACCTGGAACATAGCTGGCAAACAGCTAGCCACAATCAAGTGCCTCGTCGTTTCATCCTCGCCTGCTTTGCGTCATACAGCGCCAGGGTTCGTGACTCCCTGGCAATACAACCTTCTGAGGCCGGACAAGAAGATTGCAGCTAGAATGGCCATGCTCACGGGAGCTGGGCGCGAAGATGAAAGCGTGTTGGCATTGGATGAGGTGACGGATTATGACGACTTTGGAGGATTGATTGACGATCTTTAAATGTCGCGGAGTCAAGGCAACTGTTTTGCATGGTGTAACTTTGACGGAGCTATGCCGCACTTTCATCTTGTCTTTGAAGATAGAGTCTGAAAGCGTTTTGTTTAGAGAGATTTGCGGAAGATGGTCACATGGCCAGCAGTTGGATTTTCAAAGAATAGAGACAGGACAGATTATTCAAATTGAATATGGAAAGTTTTAGGAATAGCCACCATTCGCCGTGAACCCCCTCTAACTCCCAGAATGCAAGACACGTAAACCAAAACCACGTCAATCCACGTTCGCCAGTGGCTTATAACGCGCGGACTCGGGATCTCGGTGTAGACACTTCCGGCGACGAAACATGTACAGGCCGAAGACAGCCAGGACCGCCACGACGCCGCCCCCTACGACGCCGGCGGAGCTGAGTGTCTTTGGATAGAACTTCGTCTTGGGCGGCTGGACACTATTGATGGCACTCTTCAGCAAAACGGGCTGACCGGTCTGCATGTCGTAGACGAGGGACGAGCCCAAGACGTTGCCCTGCTTGTCGACGGCGGCGGCGCCGACATACCTCGAGGTGCTGTTCGGCCCGAGAAATATGCTGGTTTCGAAGCCGGTGCGCTTAGCTTCCGTTTGAAGATTCCCGTAGTCGCTAATATTCAGTGGATCGTTCGATGAAAACTGTGCAGGTAATGGTCAGCTAGGCCTCAAAGTATTGGGAAGCCAGATGGCAAGTTCACTCACGATGGACCATTTGAAAATATCCGTCGCGCCGTTCCAGGAGAGATAGATTGTTGCGTCCTGAGCCGTCCCATGCGGGGCGTCCATGGCCATGTTGGGCGGCCACTTAGGGCGACCAGTCCAGTGAGTCTTGTGGACGCGGTAGGCAAACATGTCGTCGATGTTGCTAGAGCCGATCTTGCCCCTCTGGACATCCATGACGGTCCTCCCATCGTCTGTGTACTCGACGAACCCGGGGGTGTGGCCCCACGCGAGGAGGACGTTGCCGTTGTTGAGCTTCTGGTAGCCACCCATGGCGCCCGAGTCGATCTGCTCGGGGTGGTAGTACTCGGAAACGACCTTGACCGTGAGGGCTGAGGGGTCGATTTCCAGGTGAAGACCGCGGGTGTTGCACTTATTCTGGCACTTTCCGGTGTATTCACCGTGGTTGTCGAACAGGGTGATGTGGGACTCGTTGTTGTGGAAGCGAGCGTCGTGCTGCCATCCGAGAGAGGTGGCCCGTCCGCCGCTCAGATCCGTGAACTGATTCCTTTTTCCTCCCAAGGTCCAGATCGGGTGGCCATCGACACCATCGATGAGGGCAAGCATTGACAGGTGCCGGCTGGAAATGAGGTAGTTGCCAGCGCTTGTCTATAATTGAGCAGTGAGTAATCTATGTCCGAGAGGAGAGTGAGGGGGGCTAGCACAAACTATACCTTTTTGATGGAGTTGATGTGGAAGAAGTCGAAGCCGCTGTCTGGGCCGACACCATATCGCGCGTCAGGGGCCGCCAAGGAGTCGCTGATGCTGAAGTGGTCTGAAGCAGCCCAGTTGAAGAGAACCTGATTCGTTGCTACGTCAACTTCCTGGAAGCCGCTGTCCATAAGCAGAGCTTCCACTGGTCCTCCCACGGGAGAGAGATCGTACGGAATGTTGAAGTACGTTGAGAAAATGACCGTCCCGGCATCGGTGACCTCCATCTCATGCATGTCGGCCAGTGCGCCGTTGAGTCCCTGAGCAGACACGTTGTATTTGAGGTGGTAGTGCTCATCAAACAGGAGACAGTAGCCATTAGCATGTCCTCTGGTGTGAAATCCTTCCCAGAAGGTGAGATAGTTTGTGCCGTTTATGGTCTGGACCTCGGAGGTGTAGGTGTTCTCGTACCTCTGGTCCGCATAGACGAGGCTCAGATCACGAGCATCGATAATCATCGGACCAGCCTGCATGTGTCCGTAGACGGACCCGAGGAAGATGTAGGGCGCATCATCGACTGCATTATGGTCCCAGAAGTTGACCTGGAAGACGGGCGCCACAATGTTTGAGGACCGGAAATACTGCCGGGGGAAACCCTCTGCGGCATCTGCAAGGGCAGAGTAGGCCTCAACGTTTGTGTAAGGGCTCACGTCGGCGTTGGCGAATCCAGCGCCAAGCCAGCAGCCAAGGGCAACGCTGAGGACAGTCCAGCGCTTGCCCATGCTTGCTTTGTGGAGTCTATAAGTCGCAACGTTTGCGATGATGATAGTGAGAAATGAGGATGATTATAGAATCTTTAGGAGATGAAATTAATGTTTCGTTTCTCAAAGAACCTGGTATCAAAAGAGTGGCTCGCAGGATTCCTGCGGTGATTAGTTGTTGGTAACCAGATAATCAATCAGGATACAACCCTCATTGTTTGGTATGGGGTTAACGTAAAGAAATATTTCAAGGCCGTTAACAACACAAAATGAGCATGTGCTGTGAGTTTAGATGAAATTCGACTGCGTGCGGTTGGGTGGTTACGACACCATAAGACAGGGATGGGAACGAACGAATGATGGCATGAGAAACCGCATAGGCATGAAGATGGGAGCAAAGAGGAGAGAGAGCCCCAACGATAGAAGGGAGGACGCGTGAAATGGACGCTGGGTAGAGGAGAGGGCACTCCGAATAGTCCGGCCCGCGATACCAGGGGAGAGGAGGAAGGTTTTAAGGATAACAAAAAGCCAATCTGTGCCACGAGGAGCCACTACACACGTACGTATCACTGGACCGGGAGTAGGGGTCGATCCAAGGATGAGCATATTCCCTACCTGGCAAGGTAGGTGCAATTGGCCGCGGATATAATGAGTAGACAGTATGTACGGCCCGCTTGTGTGTGCTATCGACCAGCGATTACGCGGCACGCAGAGCTGGCAGGTTTGTTCGTGGAGAAGGACTTACGCTAAAACATCCGATAACTCTGTTCGCAGTCATCGGCATGCATATTGGATAACAAGGCGTCCGTGCCTGCACCGTTTCAAGGTCCTCGAGGACTGGGAGGTTAGGGAGATGGCAGCATGAAGATCTGCTATTGCGATCGGCCATTCTCAGTGAGCAGCTGCCAAAGAGCACAGCCTGTAACATGTCTGTTTCAGAGTCTTTATCTGCCCAGCAGCCAACTGTGGCTCGACACCCAGCACGAGCTGGCCTCATACTGTGCCGGCAGCAGCAACTTGACACATCCATGTGGAGAAGCAGCGGATCGGAGACTGGATGATGGCCCTGCTTGTGCCTGGGACCTTGTCATGTTAGTGCCCCTTTCTGCAGCCGCCCGAGCCACCGAGCCGTACCGACATCACGGTATATCCCTGCGTATGTCGATGTGTCCATAGGCGCGGGGGAGTATGTAGGCTCAAGTTATATCTAGACAAGCAAGTCCTCATGAGCAACAGATGCTTGTTCCTCTGGAAAGTGTGAGTAGTTCTGGATGTGGCTGCAAGTCGACGTGGGAGGTGCAATAGTCAAACGGAAGTGGATGTTGCACAAACAGCCGTTGTTCGAGCTTCGGCAGGTCCAGCCACTAAAACCCGGGGATTGGTCAACCAACAGGCGCCAGAAAGCTTATTCTCCAGCGCCAAGGACCGGTATCTGCTCTCTACCGCACATGCATCAAATCAAACCCAATCCAGCAGGTCGTGATATACAGAACCCATTAGCCGCCTTAAATCAGTATTGGCCGATTTGTTTCGTATGGACCATCGTGTGTGGGCCGCCCAATGCAGCATCATGCGTCCATATCCATTGTAACACGCGGCATTCTCTCGCCTCGACGGCAGAAGGGCGGCGCGTCGCCTTTATTACGTAGAGGCCGCGCACCATCCGTCTGAAAAGATACGGAAAGTGGAAGCCACCAGCAGGCAAGCAAAGAACCCTAAAGAGCTCCGCTTCTCGCCTCAAATCATGACCCTTGCACGTCTCTCTGGGCGAGAGCTTCCAGATTGAGACGCAATTCCCCCAGGCAAGATGATGGTGATACTAGATAAGTTCAGTGGTCTTCGCAGACGCGGACTGACAATTGCTATACCGAGCAAGTATATATAGCATATTCGACATAACTCTGTCACATACGACCATACCCATTCGAAAACACGCGATCCCGTCCGCTCTCGCCTAGTTAAACGGATGAGGGGCCGATTAGTAGTTGGGTCGGTGACGACCAGCGAATACCGGCTGTTGTATGTTTTTTTCGGTATTTTTTTTATAATTTTTTTTGATGGTTGACATCGAGTTTTCTTCAAAAGGTGGCCCTTTGCCTTTTTTGAGACCCAGTTTACCATCTTTCACGTGGGAAGCGCACATATGATTGGCTTCATGCAGGAACACGGGTCTGTCAGATTGACGGCAGAACGGGCGAATAGCATTCGTCTGAAAAGCCCCCACTAACAGAGCTTCCCTCCCTCACTCACACATGTACTTCGGCACGTAGACTGGAGATGCCAGCCCGAACCATCCATCATATACTGGAAATCTATCATCATGCAAACACCAGGTATTCCTCGTTCAAACATGTTCACACCGTGCAAAAGGGTCCAATTCATTGCGGCTATGCCCGTTCAATAGTTTTCTCTTTGATTCGCGATCCTCGCTAGTGCCAGGACACAGTTTATATATACATTATCAAGAAACAAATGGAGCTCCATCATCAAGATGGCTCGTCCTTCACATTTTCTCTCCCCTTTCTACCCTTCTAATCTTCCCGTTTAAACTCCAGAGGTATCCCGATACTTTAAGAGCACTGTCCGGTAGGCTGGGCAGTCACCGTCACGGTGGTGGGCTTGGCGGTCACGGTGACGGTGGTGGGCTTGGCGGTCACGGTGACGGTGGTGGGCTGGGCCGTGACGGTCACGAAGACGGTGGACGAGGTGGGCTGGGCGACGACGCTCTCCTTGGAGCTGGAGGCGACGGCGGTGGCAGCAGGGGCGGAGGAAGAACCGGCGGCGGCGGCGGCGCTGGTGGTGACGGGGGAAGAGCCGGTGTCGTCGCCCTCATCCTCGCACTCATCATCATCGCCGGTGTTGGTGTCGTCACCCTCGTCCTCGCACTCATCGTCGCCGGTGTTGCCGGTGTCATCGTCGGCGCCATCGTCCTCGCACTCGTCATCGTCACCGGGAGTGGTGGTGGGCTGGGAGCTGCCGGGGGTGGTAGAGCTGGCGGGCACGGGGGTCACGGCGGCAGAGGTGGGAGCCTGGCTCAGGGCAGCAGAGGTGGTGGCGACGGGAGTCTGGGCGGCGCTGGAGGTGACAATGGTCTGGGTAGGGGCGGCAGAGCTAGCAACGGCGGATGAGGCCGAGGGGCTGGAGCCGCTACCGCCGCCGACGGTGAAGTCGACGCAGGACTCGTAGGTCTGGTCGATGCTGTGGGCATCCCACCACCATTGCAGGACGCAGTCGCCAGCGGTGGTACACTCGCCGCTAAGGTCCGAGGGCAGGGTCACGCTGAAGGCAGTGTTGTTGGCGGGGATGCCGGAGTTGCTGGCATAGTTGTCAAACTCGATGAGAGGGGTTCCAATGATAGTGTTGCTGCTGGTCTTGACCACGGACACGTTGGCAATGCCAGTGTGGGGGGCAGCAATGGTGATCTCGAAGGGGATGGTCTGGCCGAGAGTGTACGACTGGACCGAGGCCGTGTTGTCTTCGAACTGGAAACCCTTGCAGAGCCAGAGGTTGCAGTTTGCCGAGTCGAGGCTGGAGCCAACAACCTGGAGGATACCCTGAACGTTTCCGTTGATATCGGAGGACTGCTGGTAGTATGGCTGTTCACCACAGGCGGCCTTGAAGGCATTACCAGGCTTACGGGGAGTAGGAGACTTGATGAAGCCGTGGGCGGCAACGAGGGGCAGAAGAGCTGCGAGGGTGAATTGCTTCATTTTGAAGATTGTTATCGGGATGTTCGAAAAAGATGAATTGTCTTGTAAGATGGTAGGGATGTTTGATCCGAGCTGTCGTCTAGGCGAGGCAGAAAATGTAAACCGTCAAGGTTGAATGAATGTCTAGTTGGTTGGAAGTGAAAGAATGGTATGTACAGCTGTACTGAAAGAGAAAGCAATTGAAGAGCCTGTCTTCGTTCGACGAGAGATAAGTCGGTACAGAAACCAAAACTTGCAACACTGGCCGTCTCTCCCTCGATATATATGTCGTCTGGTCTCTGCCCTGCAACACCAAACGTGCCCGTGGGTCGTATCCCACCACTCATTTACGGCCGCTTCCGAGGCCCCATGCCAGCCCACAGGGCGGTTAACAAACTGCACTGCAACTGCAAGCATGGCACCACGAACAGAGTTGTTTCCCCCCCAGTGAGACCTGCCGAGACTCAGGTGAGCCAGGGAAAAGAGCCAGGGCTCTGCATCTTGATCCGATACAGCCCATCTCGCTAAGGGCGCCCACCACTTAGTAGCCCCATCCAGATGGAACAATCTCGAGAAGCTTCACCAGCGATTCGGGAGTGATTCCCAGTATGGCACGCGGAGTGTGAGGGCCGGCCGGATTAGAGTTAGAGAGGAGTGGTGACAAAGTGGTGGCACCCTGGAATCGGCGTGGTTTTGCCCACCTGAAGTTCAAACTCGGAGATCCCAGCACGCGCATTTATTGGCCGTTTCAAGGGCCCCCCAGCCAGCAACAAGGCCAGCTCCTTTGCTTGGCAGCGCTCAGAGCCGCCAGAAAACAATATCGCTGAGGTCAATTGAGGACGCAGGGCGGGTTTTCATGAGATGGCATTACTCACGTGTTATCAATTTTTTCATCGTCGTCGTTGCTACTCAGAATTGTTCTTCAATACCTCAGCTTCACTCTCCCACAATGCGAATGCCTCCTGGCGGGGCAAATTCGTTTTGAATCTCCCCTCTAAATCTCCGCCGGGTCTTAATTATCCTCGAGCACTCAACTGAGATGAACAAAATTCCGGCCCATGTGAACAGCCAAGATGAAACAACTCTGATCCAGGTTCACGTGCTTTATCTCACATTAAGTCAACCAGCGGCGGTGTAGCACGACTGATCAGGATCAAACCTGCCTTGCAATCTACCCCTTCCCACGGCCACTCCCTTGCCGCCGCGACGTAGGATGGCCAGGGTGTTTGCCGCCAGGCGGCTTGGCGATGCGATTCCCTGATCCAGCAACAGAACGCACCTGGAAGTTTGGAACCTGGGAGATTGGAAAGGCCTGCCGCCTGCCTTCACCGTTGGGGGGATTGCACTTTTTTGTCCCCCCACTGTCCGCTACGGTTGGAACCGGCGCCAAGAGACGTCTCACGTTCAGTCGCCCAGCATCTATCAAGATGGTCAGGAGTTTCAGGTGTCGCATGGAATCATTCGTCTGAGGATTGGCAGTTGCGATTATTGCTGACGCCTTCTTTCCCACCTCAACATCATCAGTCATCTTACTGGCTCGGCTCATCGTCGCCCGGGTAGTACCCAATCGCGAGGCACTCATTCTAGTGACGGTTCCCCGTCAGATATTGATAAGATACGGAGATTCAAATCTAACGCTGGCTCTGGCCTGCGGTAACTTGGCATTATCCTAAATAAGTTCCTAGTTCGCTAAATCCCAGCACGCTTATTTCATTCAAATAGGTTCATCTCTTGGCTCGATCAGGACCTCATTAATGGCAACATAGCTCGGCTGGCAGACGGCGTACACGATCGAGTTGGCCACGTCCTCCGGCTCAAGCACCTTGGCGCCCGTTGGTTCTCCGTACTTCTTGATCGCCTCCTTGTCAGTCGACATCCCGAGAAGATCAGTCTGGGTGTTTCCTGGTTGGACCGATGTCACACGCAGCCCGGTCCCCGCGGTCTCCAGGCGAAGTGACTGAAGGGTAGCCTCAACAAAGAACTTGGAGGCCGAGTACACGCCAAGTCCAGGAAAGACCTTGCGGCCGGCGTCCGAGGAGATGGCGACGATGTGCCCAGCACTTCGGGAGAGCATCCCAGGAACGGTGGAGGAGAGGCAGTGGAGCAAACCCTTGCAGTTTACATCCACCGTTCGTTCCCACTCATCCGTCTGGCAATTTGCCATCATGGTGAAGTACATCACACCCGCGCAGCTCACAAGAATGTCCACGGGGCCTAGCTTTTCCTCCGTCGTTTTAATAAGGCTCTCGACCTGAGCCTTGTCGGTGACATCCGTTTTCTGGATAAGAATCTTGCCCCCGCATCCGTTTCCAGTGCACTTGGCTTTAACAGCCTCCAAGGCCTCAGTGCGGCGAGCGGCGAGAGTAACGTGTGCTCCCTCCCGAGCAAGGCCAACTGCCACTGCGGCGCCAATTCCAGAGGATGCTCCGGTGACGACAGCAACCTTGCCTGCCAGCCTGCCAATCTTCTTTGGTGAGGATAACACCCCATTAACAGCCTGCCTCTTAGGGGGGTGGGGGAGCCATCCTCGAGAGTAGAAGTGTCTCATGTACGTCTCCAGTAGAGCGCGATCTAGCCTAGGCCGTTTTAGACCGTAGATATCCAGTAAAGACAACGTCTTCTCGTCTTTCAGAACGATTACTGACTGCAATCCCTTGATGGTTGGCATACCACCTCGGAGAATGTCGACAGTAAAAGGCACATCGCCATGGGTAGTGCTACGATTTTCGCGCCACACCTTAACCCAGTCATCCCAAGGGACTCTATCCGTCTTGTACCCGAGCTCGGCAAGGTTATCAAATAGTTTATCTGCAGGCAGAGGGCTCGAATCGCCCAAATGGTAGACGCTTGCGTTGGGGCCATCGGCATGGTTACACAGGGTAGTGATGGCGCTGCTGACAAAGTCAACCGGCGCCATTTCAGGAAACCACCCCTCGACATTGGGAGCGCTTTGAAGATGGAGCGATTCTACGATGAGGGCGTTGAGAAGGTCCCATGCGTTGGTTGCGCCTGTGACGCTGTGTCCGCTGATAGTGCCTGGACGGTACACCCTAACTGGGATTCCACGGCGTCCTGCCTCAAACACGAGCTTCTCTGCCACCCACTTTGTCTGACCGTAGCCATCAAGAAGCTTGTCCGGGACATCTTGAATATCAACCACCGTATCCTCAGTCCAGCCGTCCACGGAGTGCGGTAGAACGCCGTTTGTGGAAATGTGGTGGACCGTGGCACCTCCGCGAGACGCAAGACGGAGGATCTGCCTCGTGCCCCCTACGTTTGCATTGCGCAGGGCAGCATATGGGTACACCAAATTGACCGTAGCAGCAGAGTGAATGATGACCTGCACACGGTTGGCGAGCTCGTCGAAAGCCTCGGGGGATAAACCTAGGCGAGAACGTGCAAGGTTGCCCGGCACGATTTCAACTCGGTCCAAACAGGAATCGTTCCAGATCCCGAGATCAATCAAATTCTTTCGGACACGGGCCATGCCTGCTGGACGGCAGTCCTTGGTAGGTTCGGTAAATCGAATTAGACATAAAATGTGAGCCGACGTATTTTCCAACAGGGACTTCAATAAGAAGGCTCCTAGATAGCCCGTCGCACCAGTCAACAACACCGTCTCGGCATCTTTGAGAGGTGTAAATTCGGTGGTCTTGGGTTGGATTTCCTCAGGAAGAGAAGAATCCTGCTTTAAAACGGCTGGCAGGTCCGCCTGTACTGCTGCGGTGTGGCCATCGCGAGCGGCCTTGATGGCTTCGAGGTGGCCCTCTAGGGTAGGTGTACCGGCAAGAGGAGCAAGAGGCACGGGGAAGCCGAATATCTGTGTAAATCGACCAGCGACCTCGGCAAGGGAAAGAGAGTGTCCTCCGAGATCGAAAAAGTCATGCTTTGGAGTTATGGTAGATGGAGGGATACTGAGAGCAGTGGCCCAAATCTTGATGACCGTCTCCATCTTGATTTTGGTGTTCTGCTCTACAGTGGATGGCTTCTTGGGAGTCTTGGGGTTTGGAGGCGGGGGAAGCCCCTTCAAATTGATCTTTCCAGATACGTCGTGCGTAGGCAGGTCCTCCAACTCGACCCAGATGGGAGGGATCATATAGTGAGCGAGGTGTGCGGAAAGAGCACGACGGGCCAAGGGGCTGTATCCTGACTCGTCGACGACCACCACGGTTCTATCGTGGGTGGGCTTCTTATCCGGCACGAAATAGGCAACGAGCTGCCTGCTTAGGCCTTCGCCATGTGCCACAACTGCACAATCACGGACGGCAAGATGTTTCACGATGGCACTCTCCACAGCAGCGGGTTGGACGGTGTACCCTCGGGTCTTGATCATTCCGTGTACACGGCCTGTGATTTCAAGAAGGCCAGAAGGTAGAATCCTTGCGAGATCACCGGTTCGATACATGCGAGCACCTTCATTCTTGGTGAATGGGTCACACTGGAACGCTTTGGCTGTAGTCTCGGGAAGGTTCAGGTAGCCGCGGGCAAGCATGTTCCCACCAACGAAGAGCTCTCCACTGACACCTGGCTCGACTCTGTTGCCGGCCTTGTCGAGAATGTAGACATGATCGGGGTCAATTGGTGGTCCGACGGCACATACTGCGGAATCTGGATCCAAGAACTTGCTCACTTCACCAACTGCCACCTCATGCGTCTCACAGGCACTGTAAACATTGAAGATGCGAGTATTGGGTAAGGCCTCCACCGCACGGCGGGCCAGATCGGTCGAGAGAACTTCGCCATTCAGCCACAGCGACTTGAGGCTTGGGAGCTTAGAGCCGAGATTCGGGTGTCTTGAGAGCACAGTGGCCAGGAGGGTGGGCGTCATGAGGGTATCATGGATGCTTTTCTCGGCCAGAAGTTCCACCAGGGCGGTCGGGTCATAGCTTACACTGTCGGGAACGGCAACGGTGGTAGCACCTCTCAGCAAGGGTCGGAGAATCTCCCAGACGAAGAACACGTTGCATGCAACCCTATCACCAGGTTGCAGATCACTTACACCAAACCTAGCATTGTATGATGTCACGGGGGCTCGGTGCGGGTTGGCGATGCCTTTTGGCTGACCAGTGGTCCCAGAAGAGTAGGAGACAAAAGCAAGGCGGTCGAGATCGTCGTCACTCGGCAAGGGTGGTTTTGGCAACACGTCAAGGGGCGGCGGGCGCGCATCGGCAGGCTGGTCGGGCTGGTCGAGGATAATGAGGGGGACATCGGCTTTGATGTGACCGGCATGGGCGAGCTGTGTAACGACCACGGTGGGCTTGGAATCCTCAATGACGTCCTTCAACAAGGCCGAGGGGTATGCCAGCTCTAATACGAGGAAGGCTCCTCCAGCACGGAGTGCAGCTAGACATGCAATGACATAATCGGCGCTGCGGCCCATCAGGACACCCACGAGGTCATCACGTCCGACGCCGTGGGAGCGAAGGCGATTGGCCAGCGCCCAGGTCTCGCTGTCGAGCTCGGCATACGTGAGGGTTCGCTTTTCGTCCTCGAGAGCAATGGCATTGGGCGTTGCTTGAGCCTGCTGCTCGAATTGGGCCGCCAGGTCCTTCTCGAGGTCAATGATGGCCATTGTGTGTGGTGGGCCCCGGGGCCAAAGAGAGTGTGTTTCTAGGTTTCTGATTCCCCGGGTGGCTGAGAGTCTGAGAGCCCTTGGAGTCTATTTGCAAAGGGGAGAATGGGGGAATCTGGTCCTAGAAAAAAAGAGGGGAGGAGGGAGGACGGTAGAGAAAGATAGAGCAGGAGCGAACGGTGAAGTGGCGGCAGTGGACATTTTGTAGCTCAGGAATGGAAGGAGAGCACGAGAGCAAAGTTTACCATCACACAACCAACCTAGAATTCTAGCATGCGGGTCTGCAGTTACGGGCTACGGGGGTGCTGCTCGATTAATTAGCGCCATCGGGCGTGATACTACCATGTGCAGGCGCATTCAAAGGGACCATCGACGAACAGCAGTGCAGAAGATGGCTGCGTGCGTTGTCATGCTGCATATCTTGAGGCGAGAACCCGCTCTTGGTGGCTACGATGCCGCCAATGACGACAGTCTTCGGGACACCAGGACGAATTGGAAGCCTCCATCGACCACACAGTCTCCAAACATCGACACACATCACCACCTTCATCCCACTCTATCAACTCCTCCCGTCCGTGGCCGTGTGGAACCCCTCCACGCGCCCCCCGCGGAGGTTCCTTGTCGATGAATTGAGGTGGGATGTGAGAGCGGTCGAGAGCCATGGATTGTTCCGCGTGGGCTGTGATTGGTTCCCAACATATCAAGGACCTGCATCTAGCCCTTCAGGGATTCAGCTTGTCACCGACTTCGGTACACCTTGGCCAGATCGGTACCTGCCTGCATGGTGGGAGTTACACCAGCAACATGTCTAGACCACGAGGTTACAATGCTGTCTCTTGGTCAACCACAAACAGAAGCGAGGCGCCTTTTTGGTGCCCTCCATTCCAGCGCCTACTTGATTACCTCGACTCAAGACTGGAAAGCAGTTTGAATTGATAGGGCTAGGCTAGCCCACGATGTAGTGAGTGCCGCCATTGCATCACTCCACCCTGGAGCCGCCAAGGCCATTTGCTAGGCCCTGAAGCAGGGTTATTCCTCAACAAAAATGGCAGAGCTGATCTGTCGTTCTTTTGACATGTGATTGTGGGTTCAACGGTGCAGGACAGGCGGAGAGAAACGGGCGGCATAATATTGACAAGATTTCAAACGCCTGGAATCTCTTATTAATCCCTACTCCTAAGGATCAAAACCCGATCATCCGCCATGCTGCTGCACTCAAGTGGTTGCTCAACTAGAAGCACACTCACCGACTGACCCCCACTGCTGACCATCACGGGACCACCCATGCACGAGCGTGTTACAAATATAAATCAGGAATGAATATGCTATATGCTTCGCTAAACAAGGTATGCTCAAAAATCTATCGAATGATATTACCTGGCCATACAACTGTCCGAACCGGCTTTGGCCAATTAGCCGTCAATGTTGCCCCGAGTGAGATTCACCTCCGCCAACGGGACCACCTTGGTCCTGTACCACAACTTGTGCCCGACGTAGAGCACTACAAACAGGATAACGCTAATGTACGCTGTGAAGAATTCGCTCGTGTCCCACTCGATGAAGACGGTGAACCCATTGGTCAGCGTGATGAGGACGTTGAAGAAGAGACCAAACCACGACAGGTACGGCTGAAACGGTGCGACGTATGGCAGTTCGCGCCGCGGAATGTTTTGCGCCTCGAGCGCCTGCATGAAACGGATGTGGCAGACGTTTGTGAGGGACCAGGAGATGAGACCGGCGACGGATCCGATGCTTAGCAGCCAATTGAAGGCAGATGCACCACCTGAGGAGAGGTTGAGGAAACCGAGGAAGCCGATCACGGAGCTTGCAGCAACCGCATAGTATGGAGTGCCGAGCTTGTTGGTCTTCTTGAAAAGCTTAGGGGCATGGCCCTCCTCTGCGAGCGAGACCAGGATTCGGCTACTGGAATACACATTGGAGTTGGCGGCGGTTAGAACAGCCGTGAGCAAGACGGCATTGATGATGTGTGCGAGGACCGGCACACCAGCGCGCTTTGCAATGATGACCAGGGGCGAGGCAGAGGCATCCTGGGATGAGCTGTTAAGAGCATCATCGGTGTAGGGCACATTGATGCCGAGCATGAAGACGGTAGAGATGAAGAGGCAGAAGATACCCCAGAAGGTCCAGCGGATGGCGGAGGGGATCGTCTTGCTAGGGTTCTGAGCCTCACCAGCAGCGATACCGACGAGCTCAGTGCCCTGGTAACTGAAGGCTGCAGTCACCAGCACAGCCCAGAAGCCGACAAACTTCCCAACATTCCCCGTCACTACGTGCTCAGCGAAAGGGCCCGGGTCGCGCCAGTACTTGAAGCCAATATAGCCCTCGTCTCCGACACCGGCATTGACGCAAATCGAATAGATGATGAAGCCCACAATGGTGACGACCTTGATGCTGGAGAACCACATCTCGAACTCACCGATCCATCGGACTGGGAGGCAGTTGATACCGGTGAAGATGACCCAGAAGACGGCGATCCAGATGGCGGTGTTGAGACTCGAATTCCAGTACTGGATAATGACGCCCGCGGCTGTGAGCTCGAGAGCATACGTGATCGCCCAGTTGAACCAATATACCCAGCCCATGGAGAAACCGAGTGTGGGATCGACGAAACGGGTGGCGTAGACGGCGAAGGCTCCTGGCACGGGTAGATAGGCGGCCATCTCACCCAGAGCGACCATGACAGAGTAGACGACGGAGCCGATGAAGATGAAGGCGATGAGCAGGGACACGGGACCAGCTTTGGCGAGGGCAGAACCTGTACCGAGGAACAGACCTGTGCCGATGGCACCTCCAATGGCGATGAACTGGAGATGCCGACTACTCAGGGTGCGCTCCAGGCCAGCCTCGAGGGAGCCGGAGTCTACATCTTCTCTCGTGTCGTTGCCGGGGAGCTTGTCGGCGCTGGCGGAGGGCGACTTCTCGCTCGGCGTTGAGATGGTCATGGCGGGCTGTTACCTAACTACGAGTGAGAGATCGTGGTAGGGGAGCTGACGTGATATGAGTAGTCGACCTATGGACCAATGCCAGTACAGGGAGAGGTAGCAAAAGGGAATCGCCAGCCAGGAGGGGATACGAGATGGCTCCGGCCAAACTTAAGAGAGGTAAGGAATGCTCGGCCGGTCTCATCACCCCTCTATCCCACGACCAGATCGGCGGGAGAGAGAATAACGGGGTGGCCCAAGGGCTGGTAAAATTTTCTCATCTGTCCATCTCATGACATGACAGGCACAGACGGCTAGTACCCAGCTATCTCCGTGTTACGCCCCCATCGTAATACCCCTTCGGGAATCGAAGAGCTCTAAATTGGGTTTCTCTTTGTCATTGTCGAGCCGTGCGTTCTCCAGTCAGGGCCCACGTCTGGCAGAGGAAAAGGGCCGGTGGTGGCCCGTCTGGTGCAAACCACTGCCGGGCCACTAAAATCACTGCTTGGAGCCCTTCTAGAAGGCCGATTATTGGCACCAGCCAGTCACAGCCTGGAGCCGATGTCGTTGCGAGTTCCACCTACACTGCGCTGGAGAAATTTTCCTCGACTGTTTCCGGAGGCGAAAAGGCGAGGATTCCGGTTTCCAGTACGTAAAAGGCGTGTGAGACCCTGTCGCGGCTCGTCTTGGCGCTCCGGGCCCGGTTCTGCTGCCGCCGTCTGCTCGCTGCCATCGCGAGGTCAAATCCAAGACAGTCCGCTGCAGCCGGGCTAATGATTCACATCCTCGTCGGATGCATCATCAGCCACTGCGGCGCCGGGGGTGATATCTCAAATTTGTCGCCAGCCAGCCTGGGTCCGATTTCGCCTCTCTTGATCGCGGCAGATAGTGATATCGACTCATCCCTCCCAGATGTCGCCATGTCACCCCCAATTTAATTTAGAGTCATCTCCTGCCTTGCGCGATATCCTGACACAGGACCGTCTTGGAATCAGACGAACAGGGACTGCGCCTGCTGCTGCTCCTCTCCATGTCGACCCGCGTATTGCGACAGCGGCCGATAACCGCGCTCGTGTCCGCCTGGCATCACCTGTCCAGCAGGGAGAATGATCCTTGGCCCGATTGATTATTGCGATTGATTAATTGCCCTGTCGAGTTCGATTCAAAACATAGTTTCTCTAACGGAGCTATGGTTATCCTCATCACATTTGCAGATTGTAGTCTTTTCTCACCCGCATTTATTGTCTGCCGGGCTGGACACTCCAAGAATACGGGCTCGGGATCCCATTGGCGTACTCATTTGGAGCCTCGGTGCTGATATCCGTCCTAATCTCGGTCGTGCACAGTATCTCTGGCAGCCGATGGCCTGTCTGGCCCTGGGGTGAATATCCAGAGGGGCTTCGAGGTGACACGGTGTTCAAAGGAATGGACAGCTCTGTGTCTGACATCCTTTGATACGTGCCGAGAACTTGTATTGACGCCTTGGGGTTGAAACTGCTTCCACTTGGTCTGGTTGAGGTGGCTGATCCATCCTTGGAAGACCCAGTGAGAGTGGTTACCCATGACAGCATATGTCGCTTGAAGGCTTGAAATATAGACGAGTCGCCAAAAGCTTTCGGGAATGAAGGGATGGTGAGGATGAGGATGGCGCAAATAGCCTCCGCCAGACACAACAAATACGACGGCCCAAAGCTATATGTGATGTTGTCTTCGTAGCTGACGATTGACTTGATCGTGTAGTCGATTCGAACTGCGGCACAGACACAGGCCCTGCATGGCTGAAATCAGTTTTCAAAATGCTAGAACGTAGCGTTCCCCGCCGTATTTCTCTGTCCTCAGGATTAGGAATGGATACGAGGGCACTTACAAAATGCCAAACGAAAATAGTATGGAAAGCCCAATCTTGCGACGTTTATGCATCTTCAGCTTCCATATGATGCGTTGCGGGAGGGCTAGAATCACGAGGTCAAGGACCAGATTGAAGATGGCAGGATACTTGTAGAGGCTTCGGTCACCGCATGTTCCCTCGACGGTTCTATCCCAGTTTCTCTGGACTGG